AAAGTAATTTTAATGGGAACACAGCAATCAATATTTGGCTTTTAATTAGGTTTTAGTGGGGTTATTTTGTGTATTTTTGTATGATTTTCTTTGTATCTTGTATATTGTATTTGTGTTTTTAATATGCTGTGAACCGCCCTGAGTCCTACGGGAGAAGGGCGGTATACAAATTAAATTAACATTAACATTAACATTAACAATGCCGGCTGGCGACCCCCAGGGGGAGAGCCTTCTCTGTGGCAGCTCCTGCCCTCTGGAATGACCTACCCCCCGACCTACGTATAGTTGCGGACCTGCGCCTTTTTCGCCGAGCCCTGAAGGCCCATCTATTCCGTGCGGCCGGCCTGGCGTAGTTTGATTATGTTTCAGTGGGGGGTTTTTGTATGGGTGTTTTTTTAGAACAGGCCTATTATTTAATTCGATTTTAAAACAGAAACTATTTATTTATTATCGTGGTTTTTAGTATCGCCTGTTCACCGCCCTGAGTCCCGCAAGGGAGATAGGGCGGTATATAAATTTAATAAATTAAATAAATAAATAAATAAATAGATTTTGTTCCTGCATATGGTTGCTTATGAAGTGTATAACATACACAATCTTTCAAATTACAGTAAAACCCCAAAATATACCATTTCAGAGTAACCTGCTTAAAAAAACAGAACCATCATTCAATGTAACCCAAAGCCTGGGAACTGAGCCAGGGTTTAATGGATCCTCTCAGTGGGTCCAAGGGTGGGTGATGAGGTGGGCACTTTCTGGGTTCCAAAAGTTGACATTACTGTATTTAAGGGATCAGACCCAGAGCTTGCAAACTTTGTCATATGAAGTAGCTTTCCACTCAAGAGGAGGGGGAGGGGACCCAGCACCTTCTTTTCTTCCCTTATGAATGACCCGCAACCCTCCACATTAAAAACCGCATTATAGGATTTGAGATCCTAGGTTAGGGGTAGGCAACCTTGGCTCTTTTATGACTCGTGGACTTCAACTCCCAGAATTCCTGAGCCAGCCACGCTGCGGGGAAAGGGAGAAGCTTCCATGCTGAGCCATGCTGGCTCAGGAATTCTGGGAGTTGAAGTCCACGAGTCATGAGGGGGCCATAGTTCCCCCATGCTGGCTCAGGAATTCTGGGAGTTGGAAGTCCACGAGTCTTAAAGTTGCCAAGGTTGCCTACCCCTGGTCTAGGAGGCTCACTGCTTAGAACAGAAGGACTTAGGACAGGGGTAGGCAACCTGGGCTCTTTTATGACTGGTGGACTTCAACTCCCAGAATTCCTGAGCCAGCATGGGGGAACTCAGCATGGAAGCCTCTCCCTTTCTCCTCAGCATGGCTGGCTCAGGAATTCTGGGAGTTGAAGTCCACGAGTCATAAAAGGGCCAAGGTGGCCTACCCCTGTCCTAGGTTGTCATCGGATCTCATCAGAGAAGCTGTTAACAGACATATAGAACGTGTATAGTCCGACTGCACCCTTCCAGAGCCAGAAACTAAGAGGAAACAAGCCATCTCCCCGGTTTCTGTGTAAGTGGTGATATCCATAAGTGGTGATCGTTTGGTATGAACATAAAGACGAAGTAAAAGCGGGAAGCGCTGCGGCCCGGTAAAATTTCGTCGGACTCCCAAGCCCCTCCCGTCGCAGCCTAGGAAGCCAAGGGCTTGAGAAAGGAGCTGCTTAGTTTTTTACAGTGTTTCTCAACCTTGTCCATTTTAAGGCATGTGGACTTCAACTCCCAGAATTCCACAGCCAGCATTGCTGGCTGTGGAATTCTGGGAGTTGAAGTCCACATGCCTTAAAATGGTCAAGGTTGAGAAACACTGAGTTAGCATCTCTACGTACGCCGCGAGGAGGAAATGGTCTGAACTCTACGGGGGGGGGAGGGAGGCACAAAGATGTTTTCCATCATTTGCTCAGCAAGGTCAGCTTTTATCGTTGGAGTTTCCAGAGGGAGGGCTGAGATTCAGCTGGTTTTTTTTGGGCGGGGGGAGAGAAATGCCGCCCCTTCAGCTGATTTTTCTTTCCCAGAAGCCCCAGGACACCAGAGCTTTTTCCCCCGGTCACGTCCCAACATCTCCCCCCCCCCCCTCCTCCCCATCCCCAACAGGTCTGAGTACCTCCGGCATCACGGGATCGGGAGTCACGCTCCTTCGCGGCTTAGTCCTGGCTCCACCCTCGCGCCTTGCCGGCCAATCTGCGCGCGAAAGGGGCCGGGCCGCTTCAGGCCGAAGAGACTTTTAGACTGAAGACCCCGGCCCGGAGCCAGTCAGAAGGACGACGAAGGGTTTCCGGTCGCTGTTTACAGGTAAGGCCGGCCGGAAAGCCTGGAAAGCCAGCGAGGGGTTTGCAGCGTTTCTGGGGAAAAGGAAGGAGACCGAGAGACGTTCGTCTCCAGCAGCAGCAGCAGCGTTCCTGGAATTCTTGGTCCTGGCCGCGGGATTTGGGTTCTGAAAACGGGGTGGGGGTGCCCGCGAGTGTCGGGTGGCGCGTCTTTCGCACCGGATTCATCTCTCAGCCTTTCGGGCGCC